TCTGGTTTTTTTTATCAGGTGATGCATGTTCAAAAAAATTTGTATTGAATTGTTTCTCTGTGAAATTTACCGAGAAAAAAATATGCACTGAATAAGCGTAGTGGACGTGCGTAATCATTTCTCAAAAATCAGATCTCCGGTTAAAATACTTCGGCCTTGCTATTTGAATTTTGCGCTGGTACGGTAACTGATCAAATCTCTGCAGTCGGTAACCTTGTCTCCTGGCATACCTATTACCACCTTCTCCGTAAAAGAGTTTAGCTATGCGTAGTCGCCCCTCCACAATGCTTAGGCCCCGCCTCCTGAGGCTAAGTGCTCTGTGATTGGAGGAATTGATCGATTATTAAATCAACAATATCTCGTTAATTATCCATCGAATCCAAATTTTGTAAAAAGCTTTTCGAGAGCTTTTGATGAGCTTTATCTCGTGGTATAGTTTTCCGGGCTCAAAATCAGAACGCCCTGTATATAAAGATTCTGATTTTCTGATATCGCAGCGTGATTTGATGCGATTGTTAATTGGAGTGAGGCTAATGGTCTTAAAGCTAATGTAAAGAAATGTGCTGTTAATTCATTCTCCAGGTCTAGGAAGTTCATACTACATAACTGTGATCTAGGTCCATCATTGCTGACAAGACTTACTAAAATTCCTGATTTAGGTGTTCTTTTCGAGGACTTTTTTACTTTTGACAAAAATTAGCTGTCTCTTATTGTGGCCTAAAAGGCCTTGAGATTTTTATGAGAAGCTGCAGGGATTTGAATGATGTTTTCATCATACTGCGCCGAAAGTAGCTTCGCGGAATGGGATAAGATGGAATAGTACATTACTTGGCTTCGCCTCGGGCGTCAATTGCCTGCGATCTGAGACATTCTTTATTTATCATCCCTAGGTAAGTAATATACTAATGTACACTGGTTTATCTGTATAAAACCCTTGTATTACCTCACCTATTGTATTACTCCCAGATCTAGAGACCATATTCACAGCAAGCGATGTATGAAAACAAATACAACATAGATTTTTGAGATTTGTGTTTTTCCTAAGTGAGTTTTCCATGTCGCTAATCGATCACGACTACTCGTGTCTTTTGTCAGAGACTGGCCTGTTAGATGTTTGTCAGCTTCATATGTATAACGACTTTTGTTTTATGTTTGGATTACTTGCAGGAATTGCTGTTAATTGTGTCGGTCACTTCATTATTCGGACCTTGAGATTGTAATTATACCTTGAGAAATGTATGACCTCTGCTCGAAATCAATACACTGCGCAGTTATATATATTTATTTATTGATCAGCCTATTGGCCCAGAAAAAGGACTTGGTTTACA